CTCTCCTCTAAAATTGGTAATCCAGAAGCAGAGGAAGAAATAATTAAGACATCAAATAAAATAATAGTAGAAAAAACGACCCAAAAAATAAATAATGAACATAAGAATGCAGCAATTGAAGTCATTAAATCAACCACAACACCAGAAACTGTCAAAGCTATTTCAGTTCAAAAAGAAGATGGCCAAATTGAATTGAGTGAAACTATATGCAAAGAATTAAATATACCATCCACTGAAACTCTAGTAACCACAATCAAAACTTATACCAAAAATGAAAAACTTAAGAAACCCGAATCAGCTTCATGGTGGACCACTGCCATTAATCTCAGCTATCTCAAAAATGCCGCATCCCAGCACGAAGGTGAATGGAAAGATAAATACGATAAAGCTCGAGAATATCTCTCCGCTCAAATTGGAGATCCCGAAACAGAAAAAGAATTATTAGAAACCACTGACAAATATGTAGTTGATAAAGCAACGCATAAAGTTATTGAGGAACATAAACAGGACGTAAAGGAAATTGAAACGAAAAAAAGTAAAGAGGAACCAAGTGGTAGCATTTTAGGTAATATTACAGGTGGTCTTCAAAGTGTTATGAAATCTGTTGAAGAAGTTCTCTCTTTCGATTCAACCGAACCTGATCAAAAAGAAAAAGCAGCAGCTCTGACCTCCGTTCAATCAAGTGCCACACCGCAAATTACAAAAGCTATTGTCTCAAACCAAAAAGATGATGGAAGTTTTGAATTAAACGAAAGCGTGACTAAAGAATTAAATATTCCTGCAAAAGAAGTTATAACAACCGTACAAGAATATACTACTAATGAGAAACTGAAGAAACCCGAATCATCTACATGGTGGTCTACAGCCCTGACTCTATCTTATCTTAAGAATGCTGCGTCTCAACATGAAGGAGAATGGAAAGAAAAATACGATAAAGCACGAGAATACCTTTCAACACAAATCGGTGATGAGAAAACCGAAAAAGAACTAATAGACTGTTCTGATAAATATTTCGTAGACAGAATTATCATTAAAACAAAAACTACTCAAGTTACTAAGCTCAAATTCAGCGAAGAGACTCGTCTCAATGTTTACACTAGATTACGTTCTGATGCCACTATAGATATTGCTCGCGCTATATTCGATACTCAGAACAATGACGGATCATTTACTTTACACACTTCAATAATTAATTGCCTTGACATTAACTCTAAGGATTTCACCAAATCTCTTAAACATTTTGTTTGCAGTGAACAACTTAGGAAATGTGATGATTCTCTTTGGATTACTGCATTTACTATTCATTACATTAAAATTGTATTTGCTGAATATGAGAAAGAATGGCCCCAGGTTATTCCTCTTGCAAGCACCTGGGTAACCAAACAAATCAATAATTCTGAAGTAGAAAAAGAATTGTATGAAGCATGTGAACAATACTTAATCGAACGAGGCGTAAATTATATTAATACCCACTCTCAAGAAATTAATGTAGTAAAACTTGAATTCGACGAAGAAACCAAAAAAATTATTCATGACGGTTTACGTTCTGGAATGACTATTGAAACAGCTCGTACTATATGTGGAACTCAAAGTAATAATGGATCATTTACCCTGCACTCTTCCATTATTAAACATCTAAAAATTGAACATAATAAGTTCATCTATTCCATCAAGCGCTTTGTCAGCAGTCAAAATCTTAAAGAATGCGATGATTCCATTTGGTTTACTGCTTTTACTATCTGTTATATTAGAATAATAATCGCCGAACATGAAAGCGAATGGGATCAGGTTATTAACCTCGCCAGCTCTTTTATAACAAAACAGATCAATAACAAGGAAGTAGAGAAAGAATTATATGGAGCGTGTGAACAGTATATTATTGAACAAGGAATCAATTGTCTGAATGAATCAAAAAGTAGTATTGTAGAAAAAGATATTGTAAAGAAAAGTGAGAGAAGTGTTGTAGAGGAAGATGTTGATAATGTTAGTAAAGTAGTATTAAATGTTGAAGAAGATATACGCAAAACCGTATACAACCACCTTAGATCATTTGCAACTGTTGATGTTTCCCGTAAAATCTCTTCGGGTCAAAATGATGATGGCTCATTTGTTCTACATTCCTCAATTTCTGATCACCTTAGAATTTCTTCAGCTAAAGCTGCTATTGAATCGCTTAAACGTTTTGTGGATAAACAATATCTAAGAAACTGTGATGATACTCTATGGTATACCGCTCTTACAGTTACTTACTTTAGAATTGTATTTATTGAGCACGAAAATGAATGGCGCCAGGCTGTTGATCGTGCTTCCGCTTGGATAACTAAGAAAATTAACGACATTGAAACAGAAAATGAATTATATAAAGCATGTGAACAATATTTAATTGAACAAGGGATTGAAGCCATTAATAACCATAATAAAGAAGTCGCTGTTGATGTTATAAAGATTGAAGTCTCAGAGGAAATGCGTCAAACTGTTTATTCCGGACTTCGTAACCGTTCCAATGCGGACAATGTCCCTGCAATTTGCAATTCTCAAAATAATGATGGATCATTCACTCTTCATACTTTAATTACCAATAATCTTAAAATCCAAACAATCGATACCTCCCTTGAATCTATGAAACGTTTCGTTGGAAGCCAACGTCTTAGAGGGTCCGATGCCAATATCTGGCACACAGCATTCACAATTACCTATATCAAGACTGTCCTAGCTGACCATGAACCTGAATGGCGACAATTTGTTGATCGTGCCTCTTCCTGGGTTACCAACCAAATTAAAGATACGGCCTTAGAAAAAGAATTATACTCGGCATGTGAACAATACTTAATCCACCAAGGTTGTAATGCTCTTAACAACCCCGCGATTAAGGTAAACAGAAAACACAGATCCCCAGTACCTACTGTATTACGTTCTTCCCTATATGGGTCAGATGGTGGAATACTCTCGCCTAAAGATGCATATCTTAATTCAGAATTAATCGTCGTTGGTGCCGCATGCGAAGCCAACAGAAAATTCAAAAGAAGTTGTGCAGAAGAAAAAACCAAAGTTGATGTAACTCAAGCCCGTGAACGAATTGTCGTATATGCTTCGGAAGAAGTTGAAAGATTATTTGCTACCAACGTTACCCACAGTAATAAAGATGATGTTTTACGACGTGCCAAACGTGCCGCTCGTTTCTTAATTGATGAATATTATAAATGTGATGATCCAGGTTGTACTTGCTGTGGTAAAGATTACTAAATAAATAACAGTTAGACAATTTATCATTTATTTTTTTATTTTTTTATTTAGTATTTAGGTCTTTTCATATATTTATTTTGAAAGTTTTATTTATATCATTTATTTACGATTACTTTTTTAGATTTATTAGTTATATTTGATTATAAATTGTATTAAATTTATTAAATTTGAATGAATAAATAAATAAAGTTATTATTTAAAATTTAAAAATATTTATTGTCTGAACAAACTTTAATATGTGAAGTTTAATTTTATTATATTATATACGATATAAAATTACAAATGCTTCATAACATAAATAATAATGACTTTACACTAATAAATAAATATTGATATACTAGACTAATTATTATGACTTTATACTAATAAATATTGGCAAATATTGATAATATTAAAATTTACTACCACCAGAAATAGGATTCTCACGGTACCAACCGCCGCCAGTTCTAGAAGTCCTTTGTCGTTTTTCTAAATCATCATTGTTCTCAATGGTCGTGTCACGTGCTTCAAGGACACTTGGAATTTCAATGCCTTCAACATCTCGTTTCGCAAGAATTTCTATGGCATCGCCACTATCAACTGGCATTGCTTGAATCGTAACAAAAAACCCAGACAAAAGAGCACCCAATATTAAAATTGTATTAAACTTCATATTTTTTGATGAAAGAATATAAGGAATATTTCGTTGGTGTGAGGAATAGTAACACAAGACGTGTTTTGTTAAGAATGTAAAGAATTTTGTGAAATTATTCAACGGAAATTCAGCATGAACTGCTGGCTGTAAGGAATGAATATGTAAAATAGAGGAGATAATCTGGTTTGAAGTCGAAGATGAGATGAGAATAGGGAAAAGCTTGCCCTTTTATAATGATTTGATATCATTGAATTTTTTTTTTGAACACCGCGCGCTTTTTTTGACAATATGTATGCGCGATAAATTGAATGTTTTAAACCAATTATTTTTTCGAGTATCATTTTTCTTTTAAAAATTTTATCAATTGCATTGAGAACAAACAAATGCCGTTTTTTTTTTCTTTCTTTATTGTCAACCGAATTTGGTTACTCGTGGAATTCGTAGAATTCGTTGAATTCATGGGATTCATGTGGAATTGATTCTTTTAATTTAATTTTGAGACCTATTCTTAGATAACTGGGGAATTTTCGAAAATAAAAAAACATTGGGAACGGGTTATATTCTTATTTACGAATAAATAAAATAAATTTTTTAACTAAAACAATGCTTGATTCCTTGAAATATTAAAAAAGGAAAGAATTTAATTTTTTAAAAAAAAATTGAAATGTTGTATTACGAAATTTATAAAATAATTAACAGTTAATGGGTATAAATTAAAGTTTATTGCCTTTTTCTACCACATTTATCCAGGAAATGATATCAAAATTAATCTTGTATTACGAAATATATAAAAATGTGTATATAATAATTAACAGTTAATGGGTATAAAGTAATTTTTTCTAGGATGATTATCACCAGAAAATGTTATCAAAAGTAAATTAATCTTGTTGTATGCGTAAACAAGGTAATCTTTGTATGCTCGTTATATGTTACAATTTAAAATAATTATTTCATGAATTATTAATTTCTGATTCTTGTTCTATTATGTGTGTAAATCATAAATACAAATCCATAAAATTACAAGAATATAGAACACGAAGGGAGTTTCAAAACAGAACTTATGAAAAAAGAGTATTCTTGGGTATTATAAGAAAAAAAAAGAGAGGGCTTTACTACAATAATATACTGGAGATTACTTATAAAACATAATTTACATGTAAAATATATTTGATTTGTGAAGATTTTATTATCTATTAGATATAAAATTTAGTCATTATTAACTTTATATTTAAATAAATAAATAAAAATTATTTTTGTGACTCGAATTGAACAAATAAAAGTCAATTTTTATAATTATAGAATAATAAATTAATTCTCACGACTTTAAATAATTATTTAATTAATTATTAAACTTTTTTTATTTGTGGGTGGCCTATTCTTAGATAAAAGAATATTAGACGAAGTTGACATTTAATCGATCATTATGTCGTTATCACGCGTAAGACAATGGCTTTAAATATTAAAAAAGGAATCAACCTGCATGCATGTTGTCGACAACAATAGTTGTCTACATCTGCATTTACAGAACTTGTAACACTTTAACTAATTTTTTTTCCTAAACAAGACTTTAAAAAAATTGGGAATTTGTAAAACTTCTAAAAACAAGAATCCATTTTTATAAACAAAAGATGCAAGTAATTTTATCAAATTTTGCACAATACAGTATATAATTAAATTAATTAAATTAATTAAATTAATGCTATATTTAGTTTGAAAGGTAAAAATCATCATATTTATTAATAGTAATTTTGCATTTGTGTAGGAAAATCGATGGCAAAAATAAATATTAGAATATTAGTACAGCCATAAAAAAAAAAAAAGACGGGGATCCGTTGACTTGACAGCCCGTATTGAAAATTTTCTTTTTTTGTTCATTAACCTATTTCAAAGAGAATATTAGATTAGAATTAATATTTTATAAAAAAATCAATAAATGAAGTGTTTCCCGAATTTAGAAAAATTATAAAAGTGTAGTCAGATTTGAAATAATCAGCATTGTTTATGTTTTTTCAGACAATGTAAGTAAAGGTTATATTCTTTAAAATCATCATCAACCTTAAGATCACCACAAGTAATATTAATTATTATTATTATTATTATCTTCTTCTCACCTTTCTTTTTGGACACACCAACAGTTCTACCACGTCTACCAGTAGTTTTTGTGTGTTGACCACGTACTCTTAATCCCCAATAATGTCTCAGACCACGATGAGCACGAATTTTCTTCAATCTTTCCAAGTCTTCACGAAGTTTAGATTCTAAACTATTCGCTAAAACTTGAGTATACTTTCCATCATTAATATCCTTTTGTCTATTCAAAAACCAAAGTGGAATTTTATATTGTGTAGGATTTTGGATAATTGTCACTATACGTTCCAATTCTTCTGTACTTAATTCACCAGCTCTGTCAGAATTTTTTTTTTTTTTTGTAATATGTAATTTTTGTAAGTTTTTTTTTTTTTTTTCTATTTGATAAAAGAAAATTATTATTATTATTATTTTTTTTTTTGAGACAAACCTCTTGCGTAAATCGACATCGGCCTTTTTACAAACAAGATTTGCATAACGCCGACCAACTCCTTTGATGGCAGTTAGAGCAAACATTACTTTGGTCTTTCCACTAAAAATTGATATATCCAATTATCGCAGAATTTTATTAAACATTAAAACCAATTATACCATAAAAAAATTATTATTTTTTTTTTTAAAAAAAAACCTACTCAACATTGGTATTTAATAAACGAAGAATGTGTTGGAACTGGTTCTTATCGGGTACAACTAACGACTAAAATTTTTTAATCGAATTTTTTGATAAAAAAAAAAAAATAATAATATTATATCCATATCTTATTTAAAATCGAATTGATTTATTAAAAATTAAACATCCATCTTTAATGTTTGCAATGTTTCCAATAAATCCTATCGTATTGCATAAATTTTATTTTTTAAATAATTTGAGATTTTAGTAAAACTCACCATGTTTGAAATAATTTAAAAACAATTTTATCTCGATTTTTTTTTTTGAACCAAAAATCTACATCCGTTGCACGTGGGATATACAAAGATAGACCAATAAAAAAATACATAAAAAATATATAAAAATTAAAATATATATCTATTACTCTATTATTATTATTATTATTATTTTATTATTACTCTATTATAAAAAAATTTGTGTGTAACATGTCACGTTTAGTTTACTCTATATAACGTATTACATTTATATGTTCCCGTTGTTTCACAACGGGTCTCTAACTAAAATGTATAAAATATATATAAGCATATAATGAGTTGACATTGAACTTGTAAAATATTTATTTACACAATAAAAAATAAATAAAAGGTATAAGTTGTTATAGACATGAATATTATCTATTTACAACCAAAAATAATAAATTCACATATTTGAAAAAAGAATTTATCAAATCAATAATAAAATCTTGAATCAAATCCGGAATTTTTTCTACGATTTATAAATGTCATCAAATCAATCTTGGTTACAACACCCAATACAAATTTTCTTTTAAAATCGGTAACTACGGCAAAACTATGTTTCTCAAAAAATTTAGCCAATTCCGTTAGTGGTGTATCCGGTGTAATCAATTGATATTTTTGTCTTGATTTCCTTCCAACATTCTTTTTATTGTTTTCATTGTTATTCCCATTAACATTATTCGAATTACTTTCATTCGTATCATCGCGTGATCTAAATCTAAACACCCATTTTTCAATTTTTTCTGATAATGTAGCGTCACCTACGTTAATATGATTTTGTAGAGATGCCAATGATACATAACCGAGTAATTTACGATTTGTATCTACCACAGGTAATTGTGAAAATTCACGTTCTAACATTAATTCAATTGCGTATGATAATGTTGAATTCGGTAACACTGTTACAGCTGCAGGAAGTTGCAAATCTTCAACACTTGCCTATAAATAGAATAAAATAGAATAAATAAAATAAGTAAAATAAATAAAATAAGTAAAATAAATAAAATAAGTAGAATAAATAGAATAAGTAGAATAAATAGAATAAATAATAATAGAATGTAAATTAAGAATTCATATGATTATTATAATATTCAGTAAAATGAACACGTACAGCTCGATATTTTTCTATCATCTGATATTCAATTTTTCTAATAGTTTCTTCATCCATCATATCATTTTCCAATAACCATTCATCCGATAATAATGTACTATTATAATTTCTTGCAGTATCATTTAATATACAAAGTATACGAATTGAAGAACTTAAAGATGATATATTCGTATTTGCATAAGCTAAAGCCGCGCTTACCACAGATCCTGATGAGGGACCTATTTGTTACATAAATTATATAAACAATACGAAGAATATAAATAATATTAAAAATAATATTAAAAATATCAAATAATATAAATAATATTAAAAATATATAATCATACCTGCCAAAAACCCTTCACTTATTAATTTACGTGCCATGACGAATGAATCTCGATCATTAACTTTAATCCATTCATCAATAAGTGTTAAATCAAGAATTGATGAAGTGAAGTTATTTCCAATATCTTCTACCTTTCGATCCTATTAAGGAAATAAATATTAAGAATAAATAAAAGAATAAATAGAGACCTAAATGAATATTTCAAACAGACCTTAGATTATTCATAAAATTAAAACAAAACAGAAAATTACTTTGATTGTAGAAGGATTAACTGATTTATTTTCTTGTATTCTTGAATGTTGAGGTTCTACTGCGACAACCTATTTAAATTATTTGACATTTTAATTATTATTTCGAATAATCATTAACTATAGCAAAAACTATAACTTGAAATATTAAAATACCTTTAAATCTGGTATCCTTTCTTTAAGATTTTTAGCTAATCCAGTAATGGTGCCTATTGACCAATAAAATATTATAATTATAAAAATATCGAAAAATACACGGTAAACAATAATAAATACAATAAATACAATAAATACAATAAATACAATAAATGTGATTTACCTCCAGATTCCACACCAACCACAAGTACATCAAGTTTTCCTCCAACTTGTGAATAAATTTCTTGTGCAGTTTCTTCATAATGTTCTTGTACATTGCTTGAATTTGTAAACTTATTTAAATAATAATAATAATAATAATAAAATTATAATTTGTTCTTTCTCATGAAATATTTCATAATCAAATATGAATATCAATAAAATTATAAAAATAAATAAATAAATAAATAAATAAAATAAATACCTCATCGATAACAATTGAATTCGCAATTTCATTTGTAAGTTTAATAGCTAAATCAAAATTACTCTCGGAATGACCAGGTTTAGCTTCATTGGGGGTTCTTATAATTTCTATTCCCAAAGATTTCAATAATTGAATTCGATCTATCGTTGTACGTTCAGGCACCAAAGCAATGGTTTTGTAACCACGCCTTTGTGCCAATAAGGCTATACTTATTGCTAAAAAGTTATTAAAAAAAAAAAGTTTTAATATATAAATTATTATCAAAGAATTATCAGAGGTAAATAATATATGAATATTCAAAATAATTCAACAAACCAAGATTTCCACTAGTTGGTATTAACAATGTTGTATCAGATTTAATTTTGCAGGACTTTTCGGCATCTAATCAATGTTAAAAAATCATTATAATTTCAACAATTTGATATTTAAAATTAAATTATAAATTATAAAAAGATATCGTGATTTAATTACCCGACAAAATCTTTTTAGCGACGCGATCTTTAATACTTCCTGACAATCTATTTGTATACTCTAATTTAACTAAATACTCAACATTTTTACTATTAATATGACCTTCCTCTGTAATATTAGTGTTGGTAAATTTATTAAGGTTTAAACGTACAATTGGTGTGTTTCCTATTATTTGAGAAACATCGTCAAAAATAGCTTCCGCCATTTCGTAAAAACCTTATTCAACATTTAGATATTCGCAATTTTTATTTTATTTTTTTCAATTGATAGATCTTCATGTGATCCAGAAACATAATGTGAAAATTGATATAAAAACAGTTGGAATGTGAAATAGTGATATCAAAAATAAAAACTTTTTTTTTTACAAAATAAATAATTAATAAAATTATAAAAATATTTCTTTAATAAAAGAATTTGGTTATTTGCAATTATTTAATTAATTGACCAAATCTTTCTAAATATATATATATATATTTTAACTTATCAAGTTCCAATTACAGCAAAAAAAAGAAAATACTGACTTTTTACTATACTAACAAATGAATACCATCTTCTTTGCTAATTCCGGTCCAACAGCTGTATAATATTTTTTCAAATGCTCAATTATCCCGGAACTATTTCCAAGATATGGAACTACATACTTTTTGGGATCATATTTTTTTTTTTAAAAAAAAAAAAAAAAAAATAATTATTATAATTTTCTATCGTTTTTTTTTTCCTTTTTTTTTTTTTAAAAAAAAAAATGAATTTCTTACTTTAAACTGAACAATGGTTTCATTAATGGATATCGGAATATTTTCAATTTCGTCAGAAGTTACATTCTTTGAGTCAAAAATCCCTGGAAGTAAGTTGACATTTTCATCATCGGATTTTTCCTTTCCTTTATTATCATCTGGTGGATTGTCAAAGGAAACATATTTATATTTATCCAGAAGACTTTTACAGCGTTCAATTGGATGCCATTCGTATGTCTCCTAATAATATGAAAATGAGAAAATAATATAACTATTTACTCAATACAAGAATAAATTATTATTTTTTTTTTAAAAAAAAAAAAAAATTATAAATACAGGATCCAAAAGATCAGAAGGTTTATATTGTGCTTTATATTTCATCTTCGGGCAAGTATGAATATAAAAACCTAAAAAATAATCAATTGATAAAAATATTTTCAATATAAACATAAAATAAAAAAATTTACAATTTTACCAAACCAAAATAAAAAAAAAAAAAAATCTTTACATTACCCATGTAATACCAACGTAATTCTTCCAATCCTACATTATAATATTCTTTAGTCATAATTATTTCCCTTAGAGCACTATAGGTTCCAAGTCGCAAAAATCCAAAATCCGGTTCATAAAAAAAGTAAACTGATGATATACATTTAGGAAGAATATCAAGAACTGCAACTGCAATTAATTTGTTGTCCAAATAATAACATTGATGAAATGATCCATATTTATATCCTGGAATATTGGTTGATTCACACTTTTTTATAACAAAAAATTGATAATCAATATACAATCATATAAATATATTACTACCTCAGATTAATGAAATGAATGAAAATTTACTTTTAATGGTGACTTCACAAGAAACCTTCGAAATCCACTTTCAGATAATTCATCTTCCTCATCTTTATGAATTTCAATTTGATATTTTCGATAGATTTGATATTTTTCACGAGAAAATGATGATGGTTCAAGCACAATCTATTTTTTTTAAAAAAAACAATGAAAAGTTTATATAAAAATATATTAAATATATTAAATATAAAAAATATAAAAAATATAAAAAATATATAAAATATATAAAATATATAAAATCTGAAGAAAAAAATATATAACAAGTTATACTTTAAAGTTATGCTTATAATTTTCTTTGTTTTCAGCTTCATGAATTGATTCTATCATATCATAATCTTTCCCAACTTGTTGCTTGGATTTTTTGGCTTTTGTTGTACGCGGCTGATTTCTTCCAAAAAAACTTTCATAAATGGAATGAAATATGAAAAAATATAAATAAAATAAAATTTTTTTATTTACTCTGGAAGTTCATCATTATCTTCTTCATCATTGGTAGAATTAGAAGGTACATATGTTCCTTCAATAAATCGATTGAATCGATTAATCAACTTCCGTTGCGATTTTGAAGGTTGAAATTTAATTGCATCTAATCTTTTATAACAAAAATTTTATTTACATTATAAATCCATCATGAAAATTTAAGTCAATTAAAAAGTATTAATTGCCTTATAGTATATTGTGGACAACAACTATCATGCAGGCAAGGTTTATATAAGTATGTTCCAGATCTATACAATAAATGAAATAAATTCAATAAATGATAAAACAAGATTAATCTCAAATGAAGAATTTCAAGTTAAGATAACAATAAAATAAAACTGATTACCTCCGCCAACCGCGATCAATCAGAGCTTGATAATCCTAAAGGTTATCACCAAATAGTTAGATTTTGCTACTATCGAATTAATTGAAGTTAATTGCTTTACCAACTTACTTGACATAACAAAGTATCAGCGGAAATACCAAATTTATGTGATGTTGCTTCTTCAGCGTTACAATAACCACAGGATGACCAATTAAATCCATAACTTCGTACTAAAGATTGAGACGACATACTTGTATGTTATAATTAGATGTATAGAAAAAATGTGTGATTTCATAGGTCGATTGGATAATTAGATCCGATGTGCGTCATCGCGAAAATTATATAAAAAGGGTTGTACATATCATTTTTCGCGAGATTTATTTAGATTTTTTGCCTATCTATATAATTTAGCCTTTTCCTCTCAATTTAGAATTTAGCCCATAATTTAGACTTTAGCCTATAATTTTAGCCTTTAACCTATAAATTAACCTTTAGCCTATCATTTAGTATTCGCTAGGGACTAAATACTAAATAGTTGATATGCGAAAATTTTAACCTTTTCAAATTTAAATATGTATGCACCATTACGAGGAATTTACAAGAATTTGACGAATCTAAAAACTGAATTTAATCGTTCCCCTATATTGCTTTTGATTCAACCACTACGACACGAAATCAATTCTCGAAGAAATTTTACGTGTAATAGTCGACAATTTTCGTCTATTTCAAAAAGTTCTAGTCGCTTAAGATCAAAACTTCAAGAATCAAAATTAGATTCCAATTCTGGCTCAAAAAACGATGGTGATGGCAACGGTGGAAATAGAAACAGTGGTAATAATAACTCAGGAGATAAACCTGGTAGTGGAGGTAAAGGAGATGGTTCAGGAAAGGGTGATGGCGGTTCCGGTGATAGTCCTCCCCCTCGATCTCCATTTGAAGGCATCCAAAGAACATTACATGTATTAGAAACCACTTTACAAAAACCTTCGATACCGGAGGTTTATCCGCAAGTATTAGCTTTACCTATTGCTAGGAGACCTCTATTCCCCGGCTTTTACAAAGCAGTTGTTATAAAGGATCCACATGTTACAGCTGCCGTAAAGGAATTAATGAAACGTGGACAACCTTATGTAGGCGCATTTTTGTTAAAAGACGAAGAATTAGATGTAGACACTATTACAGATATTGCTCAAGTTTACAAAGTTGGCGTATTTGCACAAATTACTAGCGTCTTCCCAGCTAATGGTGGTCAAGATGAAAATTCTTTGACAGCTGTTTTGTATCCTCATCGACGAATCCGCATCACGGAACTTTTGCCGCCTCTTCCAAGTGGAGTTCCCGAAGCTGAAGTTGTTGCCGAATCCGTACAACAAAATCCCGAGACAACCAGCACAAACAAAGGTAATTTGACATTATTTATTATTATTATTATTATGCATGAATTTATGTATTAGATTTTTAATTTTTTGAAATTAAGCTTAAACTTTTATTCATAAATTCAGAACTCGAACCACAGTATGCAACTTCATTTTTGGAAGAATATAATGTTTCACTCGTCAACGTAGAAAATCTCCAAGATGAATCATATAATAGAAAGAACCAAGTTATTCGGGCTATAACTTCAGAAATTGTTGCCGTTTTTAAAGATATTGCGACTTTAAATCCTCTTTTCCGAGATCAAATCGCCAATTTTTCAATGTCCCAATCTGCTGGTAATGTATTTGAAGAGCCTGCCAAACTTGCAGATTTCGCGGCAGCAGTTTCCACGGGTGAACCAAATGAATTACAAGAAGTTCTTGAAAGTTTAGTAATCGAGGAACGACTTCAAAAGGCTTTACTTGTTCTTAAGAAAGAATTGGTAAATGCTCAATTACAAAGTAAAATCAGCAAGGAAGTAGAATCAAAGATTGCAAAACGTCAAAGGGAATATTATTTGATGGAACAATTGAAAGGAATCAAAAAAGAATTGGGTATTGAATCAGATGGTAAAGATAAGCTTGTGGAAAAATTTAAGGAAAAAGCCGATAAATTAGCAATGCCTGATGGTGTAAAAAAAGTATTCGAAGAGGTAAATTCCAATTCAAAATGTATTTTTTTTAATAAGTTATTGTAAAAATAATATAATATTAAATTTTCGACTTTCATTACACTAGGAAATCAATAAACTTGCACATCTAGAACCAGCAGCTTCTGAATTCAATGTTACGCGTAATTATCTTGATTGGCTCACCCAAGTGCCATGGGGTCAAAGATCTCCGGAGAATTATAATATCAAACATGCCATTAAAGTACTTGACGAAGATCACTATGGATTACAAGATGTAAAAGATCGGATACTAGAATTCATTGCGGTTGGTAAACTAAGAGGAATTGTAGAAGGAAAAATTTTGTGTTTCGTTGGTCCGCCTGGTTTGTAAAAAATTGTTTTAAATGATTGAAGTCATTAATCGAAATTACATATTGTACAATATCAAATGTGAATTTTTTTTTAAAGGTGTTGGGAAAACTTCCATTGGAAAATCAATTGCACGAGCTCTGTCTCGACAATTTTACCGATTTAGTGTGGGCGGTTTAACCGATGTTGCTGAAATTAAAGGTCACCGTCGTACATACGTCGGTGCTATGCCTGGTAAGGTTGTTCAAGCGTTAAAGAAAGTTCAGACTGAAAATCCTTTGGTTTTGATAGATGAAGGTATGATATTTAAATTTTCATTTTTATTATTATTTTATAAAAATTATACATTGCTAATTATTCCATCATCTTCAAATGTAAACAGTCGACAAAATTGGTCGTGGTCACCAAGGAGATCCTTCCTCGGCACTTTTAGAACTTCTTGATCCCGAACAAAATTCGTCGTTCTTAGATCATTACATGGATGTTCCTATCGATCTTTCAAAAGTCCTTTTCGTTTGCACTGCTAATGTAGTAGATACCATACCTGGTCCTCTATTGGATCGTATGGAATTAATACAATTATCCGGATATGTTGCTGATGAAAAGGTTGCCATTGCTACAAAATATTTAGCACCAACTGCAAAAGAAATGGCTGGATTGAAAGATGCAGATGTCTTACTTCAACAAAGTGCTATAGAGACATTAATAAAATCATATTGTCGAGAAAGTGGAGTACGTAATTTAAAAAAGCAAATTGACAAGATTTATCGAAAAGCTGCACTTAAAATAGTGAAAGATTTAGGTGAAGAAGAAGCGCGGAATGAAGAGTCTGATAAAGTAGAAACTAAATCTGAAAAACCTGAAGGGGATGAAGTATCAACAACCACTGAACCACGAAAACCGTTAACAGTTCCTGATGATGTTCATGTTATCATCGATCCAGAAAATCTGAAAGATTACGTTGGCCCCCCAGTGTGGCATTCGGACCGTTTATACGATAAAACCCCACCTGGCGTTGTTATGGGTTTGGCTTGGACGAGTATGGGTATGTTTAAAATTGACTTAATTGTTTGATGATTTTTGCAACATTTTTTTACTTGACAAAACTTACATATTTTTTAACATTCAAATTTAGGTGGATCTGCTCTCTACGTAGAATCTACTCTAGAATCAATTTTATCAAATACCTCAGCACCTTCACTTTCCAAGACAGGTCAAATGGGAGATGTTATGAAGGAGTCAACTACAATTGCTTATACATTTTCCAAGAGTTTAATGACGAGACGCTTCCCAGAAAATAGATTTTTCGAAAGAGCGGCAATCCATCTTCACGTACCAGAAGGAGCAACTCCAAAGGATGGTTTGTATATAACATGTTTATTTTACATTTAACAAAATTTATGTATTTATTAATAAATAAATTTAATCAATTCCATTTCTGAATTTAACATTCAGGTCCATCTGCTGGAATCACCATGGCTACATCACTTCTTTCACTTGCAATTTCCAAACCGTTAGATCCAACCATTGCCATGACTGGAGAGCTTACATTAACAGGTAAAATTTTGAAAATCGGGGGTCTTCGAGAGAAAGCTGTGGCAGCCAAAAGATCCGGTGTTCACACTATAATATTTCCGGAAGCCAATACAAGTGATTGGGAAGAATTACCAGATAATGTTAAGGAGGGTCTCATTGGTATTCCAGTTGCCTGGTATGATGATGTATTTAAAGTGGTGTTTGGTGATATATCTAAAGAGGAAGCAAAAAATGCCTGGACTTCGATGTTCGAATCTTATGTACCGACAGATACAAAAGAAAAAGAAGTAAATGTAAATGCCAGTGTCACGTTATAAAATTTTATAGACATTTTAAGACAATGATTTTTTTTCGTTTATTCTTAGAATTATTTTTATTAAATCAATTAATATAGCTAAAATAATGGTGATGGACTTATAGAAAAAAAAATCCAAAGCCTTTTGTTATCTGGTTAATTTAATTTAAATTTTTTTCATTTATTTTGGATTTTTTTTTAAAAAAAAATAACAAAATAAAATACATTTTTCTAGTCGAGGTAAATTTTTGTTATAAATTTATTTTATACAAATTTACAATAAATTTAAAATAATTCAAGTAATGTTAAAACTTTCTTTTTATTATATTTATAGTAAATTGTATGAATCCATTTCTAGATAACGAAATTCAAGTTGAAGATTATCAAAACATTTGTCTTTTTTGGATAAATATTTTGATAGTCGAACAGATTTATTTCTCGATATATTTGTTATATAATTTTATCGTTACGATTGAAGTGATATAAATGTCAACATATTCAAAAATAATACGCACAGATATGTATGACACGTGATGATTGTGAATAATGTAAAAAATATTTTTCATACTCTTTGCATCGGGAACTCCGGCTATATTTCCATTTCTTAGATAATTTAATGCTAGAGCTTTGAGTTGAGAAACGTTAATGCTATCTCTATGAACTCGGCAAGGTTCGCCGGTCATTATAAAATATTTTTAGCACTTGATACTAGCTCCGCTAATAATAACTGACGAAAAGACATATCTCTTCTATCTCTTCGTTTATATATCCGTTAAATATATCTGACTATACGACACTCGAAATTATTCAGCCCAACCCGACTTGGCATTACATCCGAATTAAGACGAATTTTGTGGATCGGCGAAAAACAGAAATGATCCAAAAATGAATGTGAAGAATAGGGTTATGAATTATTAACTAATTCATCACTACGTCATATTTACAAGACGCTTATACTTGGGAATTAGAGTCGAAGGCTTCGCACTCCACATTCCATACATTATATAATAGATCATTAAAATGCGTAGTCAAAGTTTTATTAATGTAATTTTTGCCAGGAATACATATAATTTTAGGCATCAATTCTTATTTATTATTTGCATTAATTTATAAAGTTTTCCTACTTTACACCATTATGATTTCCTGTAACTTAAAACATCTTTTTAAGTATGTAAAAAATCAAGTATACCAGATTCACCTGAAGGCAAATTACGTACTAATTCTTGATACCTTCGGGTTCCGATTTTGGTTTAGCTAATAATCCTAGCGTACAAGCATCTGGTGGATCTTTTAAACTCCCAAATGCTGATACCAGGCATAAGTTCTTCATGATAATTTCGATAAAATGGTTGAATTGTCCCATGATCAATAATTACAGGAAATCCCTCAAACACAGACGGCAAATAAAATTGTAATAATGATCCCTTTTGCATATCTAAAGTAACAATGATAACTTCTCTCTCATCAACCAACCCAAAACCTATCGAAGAAACATCTCTTCCAAATTTCTTCTTTGAGCAGAAAAAAGTTTTATGATAATCACGTCATTTTGGATTGTGAAAATTTGTCGATCACCGATTTTATCTGCAAATTTTTTTTCCTTCTAAATATGAAATAATGCATTAGGAGGTAATTCTATTTCATTTCTTCCCGAATTTTCAAATTTACTTCACTTCATATCTGTTGAATAAAATTCTCAAGAAAAATAAAATTACCTTCATTCTGATCTTTCATAGTAGTTATTTGCATTTGACTAGTTATGTCTGAAATTCATCAATGATGTTATTTAAGATTAATCGTGGCTGAATCTATCTATGAAGGGAAAGTTTTTTATACCTTCTAATTCTTTGTGGAACTTTCTTTGGCTAAGTACCCGTTTACGAAAAATCAGACCAGGACAATCGTTCATCCGATGCATGCAAGTAGATCTAGAAATAAATCAATTCATTAAAGGAATAATCAGGCCTAAATAAAAAAAAATATCTTCACTCACCATTAAGTTTTCTAACATGTTCTTGTACCCGATATAGAATTTGATCTTTTTATTAGAACTCATCTCGCAAATTTTTTTCGCTTGTTCAATTAATTTAGTAAATGAATCCAACATAAGTTCTTCAGATTCATGGATAAATTTGATTCGAATTCCTACATCAGTGTAAACAATTTTGCTTTCTAGCTCAAAAGAACCTTCTTTGAAAATAATTTTATCATAGGAACAGGTTCTTTTCTTTTAGTGCAACTGATAAAAGTGAGAAGGTAACCTGCCAATTCAACCATAATGTGTATATATTTTTTGTTGAGCTCATGAGAAAATATTTTGAAATCTTATCCATTTCGACCAACAACTTCTCGTGTCTAAGTTTTTTTTTTTAATATTCGCATTGGGGTTGTCAAAGAGGATATTTAATTTCTCATTTGATTCATCAAGTTTCCACAAATAAAAATTTTTCATTATTAACACAGACAAAGTTTTGTTTTTTCTCTTTAATAATTTCTTTGAGTCTGCTAACAGTCGCTTCAGTATCTAGTTTAACTGAGAAAACATTAGTAACATCTGGAATGTCACCGTGAACGAAGCAATTGAGCTCAATAGTAAACATGAATTAAACTATTATAAATAAAGAAACGTTAACTTTATTTTATCAAAATCACATGTTTAAATCACATATTATTTCGAAACCCGAATTATACAATTTGTAATTTTGTAATGATGGAAATAAACCCAATATTAATAATTAGAGGTATACCAGTAAACAAGAAGAAGAAAAATGAGAAAGATGCCGCTAATACAAAGAAGCTAAGATGATAAGATAAAGATGCCACTAATGCAAAGGAGCTAGAATGATAAGATAAAGCTTTATATTATTTATGTATCTTGGAAAGGTTAGCTCAATTTGTTCTAATATTACATACCATAAGTCCAATAAGAAAAAACCATGCGAAAACAAGGATTGTTGGGATTATACATGTTCCCGAAATAAAATGGATATTTTGACTTTTTGAGATTTTTGAGATATCTATTCTATGTATGAAAATAAAAAAGTACCCAGTCTAATATATTTTTAATGAAATTTAATTTCGGGTGCAAGTATGTAGGTGTATTTCAATCATGTGAAATTTTTGGGGGGTTGATTGTTTTGATGAAATATGAAATTGATTGAGCAGTATCATTTTCGTTAGTTTGGTTTTCCGAGTCCTCCAGTGTAGTTCTAGTATCGTCGATCACAATGGGGTTTGTAGTCTGATCTTACATAAAGATGGAATTATCAATATCAATAGGACTTGTTGCTTGATTCTCCTTAGTAATTTGCCCAGATGAAACGGAAGAGGCATCTTTCTCCATTAATTCTACCTCTAGCATATGTTCCAATTCGCCTTCATCGTCATCTATAGTTACATTAGATTGTTGAGAAGTCTTTTCTTTATAATGACTTTTAGCATGTGCAAATTCTTCTCTATTAATTTTGATATCTTTATTACAAATTGGACATGAAGAGCTTCGCATAATATGATTTTCAATGCATAGTCGGAAAACTACCTGTTGAAACACATCTGGGTTTTTATTCGGATACTCCGGATCCACCATGTTGATATTCACACTCAATTTGATAACTTTTAAGGAAAATTCATTTCGTTTCATATTTTTAATCTTTGCTTTTTTTTTTTTTTTTTTGTGCAAACATTTCAAGCGAACGATCAAAACCTTCACACAGATGAAAAGCAAAAATATCCTGCAAAAAAAAAACGAAATAGGATTTCATAACATTAGGAAATTGCAATTTTCGACATTGTTTAGCAAAATGGGAATAAGTGCATGCAATGTGATAACGGAAAACATGTGAAACATGTGATATCCTGATGAAAATAAATCTACTCGCTTTTTTTGAATTTCTAACCATATATATATATATAAGTGAGTATATTTTTTACGAATTATATTTCTTTTTTTGATTTACCATAATGCCAGTACCAACTGACCCTCAACATTTCTCTGTTATTACTTCACCTATTTCCACCCACCCTTTTCCTCTACTTACGGAACAGCATATATTGAATTGTGCATTTTCTTCTTGGTATAGTAATTTTAGGCAGGTGACTTTAAAATCCAAAATAATTAAACCTTTACCCGCAGAATTTATTGAATATTTACATGCAGATGGTGTGTTTCTTCCTGATCAGAAGTAGATATTTTCGTTTTATTATTTTTATGACGTTGTTATAATTAAAGATAATAAATTGTTATAAATAATTTATTTATATATTTTTAAATAATAAATGAATAAGTTATGGAAGAAATCGATATGCGGAGTACAGCGATGACTCTGACTCAGACGAGAATAACGAATCAGAAGTAGAGTTTAATGACGAAAATTACGAGGTTGGTTTTTCTTGAACAAATTATATTTTCTCTAATTTGATATCTTCATTTGATTGATATCTAATTTGATATCTTTATTTTAATAAAATTATCATTTATAAAAGCCATTGCCAAATTTTCCGGATTTAGAACAACAAATTTGGCAGATAATCGAAGAATTTGATGGTGCAGTATTTCCAAAACTTAATTGGAGCTCACCTAGGGTAATATATATATATATATATATTTGGTAATTGATAACATTTCTTAATTCTTTAAATTTAACAAAAAAATATATCTATTTATAAATTTTTCAGGATGCCACATGGATTTCTGCGACCAACACACTTAAATGCACTACACCATCAGATATTTTTCTATTACTTAAATCTTCGGATTTTATTGCTCACGATCTTGATCATGCATTTGATGAATGTGATCATGATGGTCAAGTAACAACGCGAAGACAAAGGCCTGATTCCTATGAACTAGTGTTAAGAAAGTGGTATGATGTGACTACTTCTTTGGAATTTCGATGCTTTGTGAAAAACGAAAACATTATTGGTAAAGAATTTTTAATTCAAATAAAAGCAAATGAATTATATTTATTATATTAATTATATTAATTATATTAATTATATTTATTATATTTATTATATTAATTATATTAATTATATATTTATTATATTTATTTAAATAGCCATATCACAGCGTGACGACAATTTTTATCACTTTTTGCTTGATATTGGAGAAGATTTAGAAGCAAAGATAATACAATTTTTTACCTCACATATACAAAACAAATTTTTAGACAGTGATTGTAAGCATTCGATATTATTCTAAATTTGTTGAAATTTATAGTTTTTTTTTTTTTTTTTTTTTTTTTTTTAATTCAATACTTGCAAATATAACCATTAATATATCATTCATTATTTTTATCATTACCAAAAGATGTTTTTGATGTTTACATAATGCGAAATAGAGAACGAGTTTGGTTAATTGATTTTAATCCTTTCGGATCGATGACAGATAGTCTTTTATTTACATGGGATGAAATATTGACAGGTTTTTTATATAATTTATTTATACTAATTTATTGTGTGATTTATTTTATAATTTATTATATTAATCATTTAATTTAAATTAGCGACTGAACGTCTACCATTTCGCATCATTACTTCGCAGACTGAAGCAAATCAATCCCATCATCAGCCCTTTGCAACTAATCGTTATCCACGTGAAGTTTTTGATTTTTCTCAAGGACAAACTGTTACGGAATTTGCTGAACGATTTCAACGCGAGTTGGCAATTACAGAAGAAGATAGTGAATAGGAAAGATATTTTCACGTGTAATTTATTATTATTATTTTTTATTATTTATTATTTATTATTTGTATAATATTGTTAAATTTAAATTTGTGTTATATAATATAATTTTTATGATAACTTCTAAAACTACAACTTGGTACAATTTTTTTTTTTACAATTTTTTACAATTTTTTACAATTTTTATCACATTCCAAATAGAACGGGTGTGAAAAGATGTGAAAAATGTGAAAAAATGAAAAAAAAAAATGAAGAAATGTGAAAGAAATAATTGAAATAAAAAAAATCGATTCCATCACGTATCACATGTACAAAGAGGAGTAAAATTAATATCCCAAATAAATAAATGTACACTAATATCAAAAAACAAAGCACCAGCACTACAAGAAAGATCATCAGATGGTTCACCATAATCAATATCTCTACAAATATAAGTTTCATCAATATTTTTAACCCATATTTCATGAGGATGATGTACAAATCCACTTTTGGATGGTGGAAGATGAGTAATCACATCATTTCGATGTGTTATTCTTGATACATGATGTTTAAGTGGAGTAGTTTGAAAAATTAATTCATTCATAATTATTTTTGCGTAAACTTCATTTCCAACGCGTGGTTCACCAATAGTTGTTAAATTAATATTGAAAGGAATTCCATTTATTCTTTCATCAAGTATTGGATCTAGAATATAACGTTTGATATCAATCGCTAGAAATGATGCCAAAGCTCCACCCTTTCATTTTTAAAATGTTTTTTAAACGATTTTGGTAACGAATTTGAATTAAATTGAATTGAATTGATTGAATAACGAGTAATGAAATTAAATGAAATTAAATGAAATTAAATGAAATTAAATGAAATTAAATGAAATTAAATGAAATTAAATGAAATTAAATGAAA